AAAGCAGTAGGAATATAGACCTCCAAATTCACCAGGACATCTGTCGTGCTGCGGCACTTGCGGAAACCAAATTGAGAAGGGGAGAGGAGGTGATGGTGTTTCAAGAACCACATAAGACGAACGTTAACCATACGTTCAAAGAGTTTGCTGACACAACTTGTGAGGGCAATAGGGCGAAAGTCCTTAGGGGAAGTACCCAGAGACCCCGGTTTGCGAACAGGGAGGACAACGGCATCGAGCCAGTCCTCAGGGACTGACGACGACTCCCAGATCCGATTATACACACTCAGTAAATACTGAGACGTGCACGGAGGGAGATGGTGAAGCATCTCATAATGAATACCATCGGGGGCCCGCCGCCGTAGAACCGCAGAGGGCCAGGGCAGAACGAAGTTCAGAGAGAGAGAGAAGGGATCATTATAGGGAAGCTGAAGACGAGTGCAGAAATCTAAAGGATGAGACTCAAGGACAGGTTTACGAAGAAGGAAAGATTGGGGAAGATGAAGACCAGAGCTAACAGAAGAAAAGTGGGAACCCAGTACAGAAGCGACCTGCAACGGGTCCGCCACAAGAGTATCATGGAGGTGAAGGACCGGTGAAGCATCGGGAACGAACTTACCCGCTACCTTGCGGATACGCTTCCAGATCTGGGGCAGATGAGTTTCGGACGTAATTGTTGAGACATAAGATGCCCAACATTCACGTTTAGCCATGCGGATGGCCCTACAGGCCACCGCACTCGCTTTCCAAAAGAAAAGAAAAGAATCGGTCGTCTGCCTACGGCGGTGCCTCTTCCAGGCTGCACGCTTACAGCGGACAGCCCGAGCACAGTCCGCATTCCACCAGGGAACGCACTTCCGTGGACCCCGAGAGGAAGAGCGAGGAATAGAGCGGAGGGCAGCGTTGAAGACAGTGTCATGAAAAAGGAAGAGAGCGCGAGAGAGAGGCAGAAGGGAGAGGTCAGAGAGAGCAGCACTGAGGGTAAATAGGGTCCAGTCCGCCTTAGCAAACTGCCACCTAGGGAAAGAGAGGGAAGGGCGAAAAGAGAAAAATGAAACAAGGATGGGGGAAATGATCACTTCCATGGAGGTCATCAAGAACCTGCCACGTGAAATCTAAGTAAAGAGAAGAAGAGCAGAGAGAAAGATCAAGACAAGAAAGGGTGCGAGTCCGAGAGTCCAAATGAGTGGGCTTACCAGAATTCAGAAGAGACAGGGAAGAAGAGAGGAGAAATGGCTCAAGAAGGCGACCCCGGGTATTTGTCAGAACGTCACCCCAAAGAGAATGACGACAATTGAAGTCACCCAGCAGGAGCACAGGCTCCGGCAAGGAGTCTAGGAGGTGTTTCAAATCAGGAAGAGAAAGCGGGACACTCGGGGGGAGATAAATGGAACAAACTGTGTACCATTTCCCCACAAAGATACGAGCAGCAGAACAATGAAGATGCGAAGGAAAAAGTAAAGGAACAAAGGGAACATCAGCACGAATCAAGAGAGCAGAAGTATTAGAAGCCCCAGCAACGGCTGGGGGGGGGGGGGAAGAGAGAGAAAGGAATAGCCACGAAAACGACCAGGACGAGCACCAAGCATCGGCTCCTGGAGACAGACACAAAGGGGCGAAAACCGCGAAATCAGAAGTTGGAGTTCGAGGAAATTGGCGTAATAACCTCGAACGTTCCACTGAAGAAGAGACATCGACGAGAAGAGAAAGGACAAAAACAGAGAACAAGGAAGAAACAAAGGCGAAAGAGCAACAGAGCACGTTAAAGAATATCAGGGTCGGGATCAGGGTCAGCAAAGTCAGGGTTAGGGGGCATGGGTAAACTGAGCAAAGACGGAGGGAAGGAGGCGGGAGAACAGACCAGAGGTGGGCGGGCGGGGTCCGGAGGAGGAAGAGGAGGAGACAACGGAGGGGAGCAGTCAAGGGGAGCAGTCAAGGACAGCAGCAGGAAGAGGGGGGGGGGGGGTAGAAAGAGAAAGAGGGGAGCGCACCTCAGCAAGGGCAGCAACCGAGAGGGAAGCGGGGGCTAAAGAAATCTCCATAGCAGGAACAGGGGGCGCAACCACCGAAATGGGAGGGGAAGGAGCGAGAGAGGCAGAAGTAGGGGCCGAGGAAGAAAGCGAAACCTTCTTACCCACCGGGGAGGAGGAAGGAGAAGAGCCAGGCTTACGCTTCTGAATTAAAGAGACAGGTGTCCCAGCAACCACATACTGGGCAACGGATTCTAGCGTCTCAACAGGAGAAGCTGAACGAGAGCACACATGACGGCCGTTTGGAGAGCGATGAACATCAGCCCGCACCGACAGGCGGCGGGGAGAGTCAAGAGACAGAGGGGAAGGATGGGAAGGAGGAACGGAGGGAGACGAGGAAGAAACAGGAGACAAGACAGACCGGGTAGAAAGAAGGGGAACCCCAGACAGAGGACCAGGAGGTGGATCCTTCGGGAGAGAACCCAAAGGAACAGAGGAGGGGGCAGTGGGCGGATCAGGGTCCAAGGCCCGGAAACGGTTGTGAGTCTGAGGACGGCGGGAAGGACGAGGAGAGGAAGAGCGCAACGCGCGAGCATAAGAGATATTAGCATAAGGCGGGAGCCGGCAAACCTGGCGTCTCGCCTCGGGAAAAGATAAACGCTCCCGGTGCTTCAAGTTGAGGACGGGTGCCTCAAGCTTGTAATGGACACACGCACGGGAGAAGGTAGGATGGGCCTCACCTCAGTTGAGGCAACGAGCCTGGGGAGAAGTGCACTCCGACTTAGAGTGACCTTCGCCACCACACAAAGGACACAGAGACAGTCCCGGAGCAGCAGAGGACACCATGCCCAAACCTCCAGCACTTGTTACAGAGGGTGGAAGGGTCCTACCATCAAAGGTAATCTTCACAACCCGGAGGGGTTGACGGCGACTACCACGAGGGGGACGAGTAAACGTGTCCACCTGGAGAATAGAATGGCCCTGGGCAGCAAGGATATGTCGAATATCATCGTGGCAGTCGCGCAAGTCCCGAACACCGGTCGCAACATGGAGCGGGAGCAGAATAGTGCCAACACTGGCATTCAACTGAGCGTTCTTCGAGACCCGAACAGGGGTCTTGCCAAGGCAGGATAATGAAGCCAAGCGGGAAGCAGCATCCTGAGAAGGAGCAGCAACGACATGTGTACCGAGACGAGTGGGGTTGAAAGTAATGGGGGCATCCACGGAATCAACGGGATGTCGATGGAGGGAGAAATCGTCAGGAGGCGCAGAATCAAGAGGGAGGAGATCAAAATATTTGGCCCATGAAGTGGGACCAAACAAGGCTTGATAGGTAGCAGAACTGGAAGGAATCGAGCGAGGGCGGCCGTGACGAGGACGGTGATGAGAACCCCCAGAGAGAGAGGGGTTAAAAGGCGCAGTAGTAATAACTAGAGATGGAGCCGCGCCAGGGGACAAGGTAGTCACCACTGGGGGCTTGGGGCTCGACCCAACCACAGAGGAGAGAGGGGAGCCAGGGGAAGGAGTCAGAGAGGCCAAAGGAGGAGCAAGGTCGGGGCCCAATGCAGCGGAGGCTACAGAGCCCGGTCTTCCAACACGGACCGACTCGGGGGCTTGGTCGCCCACCCCACGAGCCTGAGAAGGTAAAGCAGAAACAGTCGAAACAGGGGTCATCATCATTACGAAAAGGAATATTCATTCACGAATGTGCCCCCACACCCACCAAGGAGCCACAATTAGAGGCAGGACACCCAACAAGAAGCTATCGCTGATCATGCCGGGGCCTCCTAGGGGTGCATCGTGAGTATACGCCCCACAAACGCCACCTTAAGAACCGACAGTCCGTCGAGATCAGGTTCAGTGACGAAAGGGGGATTGACAATAAAAGGTTCCCCTCGCTCTCGACGTCGGGTACTACAGTTCTACGGGTGCAAGAGTATGCCTCCTCAAGCATCCGGGCGTCAAAATAGAAGAAGTCCAAGGGAAGAACCAGAACAAGCAAAAGGTCGGCAGGAAACTGCAAGCAGATAGGAGAAGAGGGGGGAGAAAAACGAAACAGAAGGAAAAGGAAAAGGTGCTCAGCATAATTGGAGAGGACGGCAGCAGGAGCACAAGGCTAGAAAAGGACAGAGGACCGTCCCAAGGAGCATCACACTCCGGCAGCCGCCCACTAAGCCCCCCTCACGGCAACAACGAGCTGAGCGGGGAGGGGGAAAAGAGAAAAAGGAAACTGAACAAAGAAGGGTGAGTGTTTCAAGAAAAATAGGAATTATAGTATTTTTGCACAACAGTAAATGAAAAGATACATTGTTTAATTTGCAACAACAGCATTGCCACACCAAAAGAGTACAACTTGAAAGACATTATGAAGCGAATCATCAATAAAAAGAGGCGTCAAGCCTCATGTACAAAACACTAAAAATCATTGAATAGTTGGAAATAAATGTTCATTTTGAACTGTTGTAATTTTTGTACAATGTATTTGTTGCTGTTGCATAGAAGTTTATGTTGCCATTTCAAATTTCTTTAATTTTTTCTTTTGTTAAAGTAATTCATTACTCTGCATTTATGAATGTGGCTAGCCGGTAAACCATTTGCATGCACATTGTATGTTTCCAAGTTTAAGTAATAAAAATATTCTGCATTAATTTTTTATTAAATAACCTCAATTAGGTGTCGTGTGTGGCCCTCCTGACGAAACAAATGTTATGTGGGGGGGGGGGTTTAGACCAGGGGATCCTCAGCTTTTATTTATTTTATTTATTTATTTACATACAAGAAGGTACACATTGGGTTTATGGGAGTACAGAGACTTGACGTTTTACATTCTTGTAAAACACTAGCACCCATAGCGTTTCGGCCAGAAACACCTGCTTAACATGCCTGCTTTAGGACGCCACCAGGGCACTACCAGAAAATGGCATTTTAAAACTGTACATTCAACTCTCTGGTTTTTAATAAAGTATGACATTCAAGTACTCTTATCTTTAATATAATTTAGCCCTCCATTGTGCACTTGTCTTATCTTACCTGCCTTTCCACCTTAACAATTCTAGAAGCCAGACTAATCTTCGACTCATATACATCTTTGGCTTTAGAACCTTGCTTCCCTAGGATCTGGTCTAGTCTGGGGGATTAAAAAAAAAAAAAAAAAAGAGTAAAATTACAACCACAATTACAAAATTATAGTAACTATTAAAGACATGTTAATCTCAATCTTAGTGTACTACAGTAATTATATTCATTCAATCTCATGTAAAATATTCAAAGTTATGCTGAATATTTAATAAAGCCCATCTTGCAAAATTTAAGGATTATATAGCATACCTAATACTTATTAATATTATCTACCTACAATATAATAGTCAACTTTATTCAGAAAAACAATTTTGAGATTGTGGGAGAGAAAGGAAAGAGACTGTGTGTGTGTGTAATTACATAATTGCAATTACCTAAGTGTGTGTGTGTGTAATTACATAATTGCAATTACCTAAGTGTGTGTGTGTGTAATTACATAATTGCAATTACCTAAGTGTGTGTGTGTGTGTGTGTGTGTGTTTTACTGTTTGTGGTTTGTAAGTATAATGTTCAAAATATCCTGCCTTTTCTTACTTATACTATCATAAATATCTTAAAGTTTACTAGTGGTTTTGATGCACTACTACCTTTTAATTCTTTTAATCCTTTTACAGTAATTCTAATTTCAGCTACAGTATTTAATACTCTTATTTCTTTGCTCCACAGTCCATTTTTGGTTACATGTCTTTAGTGTGACTATTTTGTGAATGCTGTTGAGGTATGGGCAGCATACTGTACTATAGTACACAAGTAGGTAACATAGGGTATGCCAGCTGAATGTAACTATTTAGTTCTAATATTATTTTTTTTTAAGCATTTTCCATTTGTATTTTTCAAAGGCATTTTCAAATTTGCCTGCATGCCATAAGATTCTCTCCTTGAATCTATATTACATTATATTGGTTTTATTATATTTATAAATTTATATTACATTACATTTATATTACATTGTTTTGTTTTCTAGTGACAGTCTGATGTTTATATTAACTGTCATCTCCTTTTCTTTGTCCAGTTTTATATTTCATTACACAGCCTATATTTTCCTTGGAATATATTCTCACTCTTCCCCATTTTCATTATATAGCATTCGATATGTAAGTCTTTTTCTATGGGGGAGTCCTGTTAACTCCCTGAATCTATCCGAACTGATATGTGCAATATTAGTTTGGGGGTCATCAGTCACAGGAGTTTTTATGCCTACTGGGAACCATGAGCCAGAACCTGGTCCCCTCAGAGAGTCACAGGGAGCAATGGCCTATGAGCACTTTTTATTTAAATTATGTCCTAATTGCTATTGAACGGGAAAGGACCCAGAAAGGTGGGCAAATCAAAACAGGCCACTGTTTCGTTAACCTGTGCAATCTACATCCAAAAAGATAAAAATAACGCCCCAAGAAAGAAACCAAACAAGCAACCCTTCATGTAACTAGCACTTCTGCTCATTAGCTTTAATACCCTCCCCCCCCCCCCCCAAACCTAGGGGGAAAGGGGTAGCCAGTTCACCGGAGCTGACAGCCCACCACTACAGCTCTGGAACAGATGTGCTGGCGGTCAGTTCAATCACCTATAGCCTCCAGTTCCTGTTCTGGATTTTGCTGTGTGTGGCTGTAACAGCAGTGTGTGGGGTGGGTGTTGGCCAGGTGTCTTCTTGTACACGGAGCAGCATGTGCGTAAGTAATTATCAAAAAAAGGCACCAAACCAGGAAGGCTAAGTAGCACCATCAAATGTGCGGGATAATCAGAGGACGCTAAATATCACCAAGGATGCCAATATGAGAACAGGAACGCATAAGGCGAACAATATCAAAAGTATCTGATTCACCAAGAATTCTATCTAGGGACAAGCGACCATGGGGGACGGTCAGAAAACAAAACACACGCTCGTCCCAGAAGTCAGGACATTCAAGAAGGACATGCACAACCATAAGAGGGACAATGCAATTAGGACAATAAGGAGCAGGGCGGCACTCCATCAAGTGACCATGGGTTAAGCGAGTATGGCCAATACGCAACCTCGCCAGAGCTGTTTTCCATCGCCGGTAACGGTGGTAGGAGGACGGCCACGAGGAAACACAACATTTAAGAGTACATAGTTTGTTACCAGTAACAGATGACCAAGAAGCCTGCCAACGGGTAAGGATGGAGGAATGGATAACCGGGAAAAAGTCGGAATATGGAATACCTTTACGAGAGATGGGACAAGAGCGGAGAGCTTCCTTGGCGGCAGCATCGGCACGCTCATTTAAAGACACACCAATATGGCTGGGAACCCAACAAAACTCAACCGACTTAAATTTACTGTGAACAAGAAACAGCCAATGCTGGATCTCGACAACTACTGGATGAACTGGATTAAAGGACCCGAGAGCCATGAGAGCACTACGAGAGTCAACAACAACTATAAAGGAAGACTGACAACGAGAAAGCAGGAGACGAAGAGCATAGAGAATAGCATAAAGCTTCGCTGTAAAGATGCTAGTCTCCAGAGGAAAGTGACACATATAAGTGCGATCAGGAAAAACAACAGAGTAGCCAACACTGTCCGCAGATTTAGACCCATCGGTGAAGACAGAAACGGAGCGGGAGTGATAAGAAAAGTGCTCAAGGAAAAGGCGTTTTAGAACCGTAGGAGGGGTAAAAGCTTTAGTGATGTGGGTCAAGGACGTACAAAACTGCGGAAGGGGGACTCTCCACGGGGGCAAAGAAGGAACAACACGAGGAGAAACATTAGAAACACGAACTGAAAGAGAATCCTGTAAACGAGATAACAGGACAGAAAGAGGGAGATGGTGAAGAGGAACAGGAACCGCAGGAGGGGTAAAAGTTAAAGCACGACAGAGGCGAGAGGAAGGATGTTGTAAGGACCGCGCAAGATAGCGAAGACAGTAGCGATCACGGCGGTCCTGGAGAGACAGGAAGCCAGTGTCAACATACAAGCCAAGGACGGGAGTCGAACGAAAGGCACCAGAACTCAGGTGCAACCCAGTATGGTGCAAAGCATCAAGACGGCGAAGAGTAGAAGGAGAAGCAGACGAGTAAGCAGGGCAACCATAATCGAGCTTAGACAGGACGAGAGAGGAATGTAAAGCAAGGAGTGCGCGCCTATCCGCTCCCCAAGAAGTTTGGGACAATACCCGAAGGAAAGTAAGGGCCTTAGAGCACTCAACACGGAGGTAAGAGATATAGGAAGACCAAGACAAATGTCAAGGAATAACCCCAAAAGCTTCGCGGAATCTTTGTACTCAAGGGGATGACCATAAAGTGACAATAAGGGACGAAGAACGACCCGTTTCCGAGTAAAAGACATGGCACAAATCTTAGAAGTAGAGAACTTGAAGTCATGATCAGTGGCCCAAGACGACACGGCATCAATCGCAAGTTGAAGCCAGCGTTGAAGGAGAGGCGAATCATCACCCTGACAGCAAAGGGTAAGATCATCAACATAGAGAGCGGAGAAGACACCTGAAGGAAGAGAGGAAAGAAGACAATTGAGGGCAACCAGAAAAAGTAGTGCTCAGAACACTACCCTGGGGCACACCTTCGTATTGTTGAAAAGAAGCAGAGAGAGCGGTACCAAGCCTCATCCGAAAGGAACAACAAGAGAGGAAGCTGCGGAGAAAGAGAGGGAGAAGACCACAAAGGACAAAAGAATGAAGCTGGGATAGAATATGATATCACCAAGTGGTATCGTAAGCCTTTTCCAGGTCAAAAAGGACGGCAACAACGGAGGTCTTCGCAGCAAAAGCAGTACGTATATAGACCTCCAAGTTCACCAGGACATCTGTTGTGCTGCGGCACTTGCGGAAACCAAATTGAGAAGGGGAGAGGAGGTGATGGTGTTCCAAGAACCACATCAGATGAACGTTAACCATACGTTCAAAGAGTTTGCAGACACAACTTGTGAGGGCAATAGGGTGAAAGTCCTTAGGGGATGTTCCCAGAGACCCCGGTTTGCGAACAGGGAGGACAACGGCATCGAGCCAGTCCTCAGGGACTGACGACGACTCCCAGATCCGATTATACAGACTCAGTAAATACCGAGATGTGCATGGAGGAAGATGGCGAAGCATTTCATAATGAATGCCATCGGAGCCCGCTGCCGTAGAACCGCAGAGGGCCAGGGCAGACTGAAGTTCAGAGAGAGAGAGAAGGGATCGTTATAGGGAAGGCGAAGATGAGTACAGAAATCCAAAGGGCAAGATTCAAGGACAGTTTTACGAAGAAGGAAAGATTGGGGAAGATGAAAACCAGAGCTAACAGAAGAAAAGTGGGAACCCAGTTCGGTAGCGACCTGCAACAGGTCCGCCACAAGAGTACCACCGAGGTGAAGGACCAGTGAGACATCGGGAACGAACTTACCCGCTATCTTGCGGATACTCTTCCAGATCTGCGGCAGAGGAGTTTCGGACGTAATGGTGGAGACATAAGATGCCCAACAATTATGTTTAGCCATACTGATGGCCCTATGGGCCACCGCACTCGCCTTCCAAAATAAAAGAAAAGAATTGGCCGTCTGCCGGCGACGGTGTCTCTTCCAGGCTGCACACTTACAGCGGACAGCTCAAGCACAGTCTGTATTCCACTACGGAACGCACTTCCGTGGGCCCCGAGATTAAGAGAGGGGAATAGAGCGGAGGGCAGCGTTGAAGATGGTGTCATGAAAATGGAGGAGAGAGCGAGGGAGAGGCAGAAGGGAGAAGTCTGAGAGAGCAGCACCGAGGGGTAAATAGGTTCCAGTCTGCTTTAGCAAACTGCCACCTAGGGAAGGAGAAGGGAGGGTGAAAAGAGAAAAAGGTAACAATGATGGAGAAATGGTTACTACCATGGAGGTCATCAAGATCTTGCCATGTGAAATCTAAGTAAAGAGAAGACGAGCAAAGAGAAATATCAAAACAGGAAAGGGTGCGAGTCCGAGAGTCCAAATGTGTGGGCTCACCAGAATTCAGAAGAGACAGGGACGAAGAGAGGATGAACGGCTCAAGAAGGCGACTCCGGGTGTTCGTCAGAACATGACCCCAAAGGGAATGACGACAATTGAAATCACCTAGC